GGGGAACTACTTCGAGGGTGATGGATGAATTTAATGCCTGAGATAAGTGTACGGGTTTTTATACGCGCAGTCTGGAAACATCCCGATCGCACCTCGTATGTGATTTTCATACTTTCAGATAGCACATAGATATTCATTGGTAGGGACTGAGGAAAATAAAATACATTAACTGATGATAAACGCTGCTCATTATTCTGTTACATTCAGTAAAGTTATGGAATAGTTTAAATATTAATATTAATTAAGGGTTTAACTAGATTAGCAGAAGAAAACCGCTGGATGTAAGTAGTAATCAAATATTTGCTTTATTTCATGTTTGATCTTCAAAAATATAATTTTTAGGGTATTTTAATTCCTTAATAAAGCTTTGTATTCAAATATCTCTCAAAATTCCAGTGAGAAATATATCCAGTACATGCTTTATAAGTTACTAACTGCACATTTTTTATTCGTGTGTCCCGTACGATTCATAGACTAAGCAGCGATTATTTATTTGAACAGCATTAATGATTTTATCTTTTTAATGGTGAAGAGATTGTGTTTTCTTTGTGGTACGGACTAAATTCCTAAATAGTATCCGGGCGAGATTCGGATGTAAAGGAATATATAAATTTTAATTGATTTGAAATTTAAATAAACGTTGTTATATGATGTTTTACGAATAAAATTATAAATTTAAGCAATCGATATGATCAGAGTAACTACGTTTGAGATACAACAGTTGATTAACAATTTAAGATACAGTGACAATCTAATTCAACATCTGCTTGATGTTTTTTTCTGCACTGTATCTACTGAGCGTGTTTATGGGTTTCGTATAATTCTGAGATTAAAGAATGGTTATTAACTTAAACAATGTTAACAAATTAATCTTTATGATGGACACGCGTTGTGTTTTTTTAAGTTATAAATATAAATTTTTAATATTAATTACATAAAATTAGTGCTACTGGTGTTTGAGTGACGTTAATGTAATCTGCTTGAAATTGTGATGCACTAAAAAGTATCTTATTTATTTTATAAATTAGCAGTTACATTCTATGCACTAACCGTATGGAGAAAGATAATTCTTCAAAAACGAATAGTCACTTCAGAAATTCTCTCTTTTCTAAAACCCCAAATTCATTATCGTGTTTAGAATAGCCAAAATCTAGACTCTATTCTTAGCTAGTTGAATCTAGCCCATATTATTTCAAACCGGTCTTCAGATTCATTTTTAATATTATCCTACGAACTGTTCATATATTTCCGAAGTCGTATCCAGTCCTCAGCTGATACGTAGAATTGACA